GCGCGTGTGTGTGCGCGCGCGCGTGTGTGTGTGCGCGCAATTTGGTCACCTCCAGCTGGTTTTGACCTCACCAGGTGTTTCCTCTGATAGCTCTCTCCCTCTCTTACCAGGAAGTGACAGCCATCCACACCTCCCCGTCCAAACGAGTGACGTCCAGTTCTCTCCAGTCGACAGATCCGACCATGGCCTCACCGCAGGACACCTCTCTTTGTGAGTACTTTCTTGTTCTTTAGGAACTTTTCAGAAAGTGTTGATGCAATACCAGATGTGTTTAAACATTAGTCCTGTGGCCGAGTGTTTGCATCGTGGTTACACTTCTCTGTCAAGCAAACGACCGAGGCTGCTGAATGGTTAATGCAATGTTTTGTCCCATTTGTTCTGTGAGATAACCATTTGGCAGAAAGCAGCTTTTATAAAACCAGATAGTTCTTTGCCAGATAAGGCTGTGCCTCCCTGGCAGGTTTTTAATGGGAAGCTCGGGGCTCGTGAGGCGCTGTGCTTCCATTACTGCGATAGCAACAGTGTTGAGGCTGCAGCCAGTTTGTTTGCCACCGACACTGATAGCACAGATGGAGCTTACAGTGCGAGTTACAGTAACTCTGCAAGGATCGCAAACACAAGTACTAGAGGGAGCCTGTTCTAGATATCGGCCTCTGAGGTATGATAGACCGTGGAATCAGTTTGTGTGTGTGTGTGTGTGTGTGTGTGTGTGTGTGTGTGTGTTTGCAAGTAAAAGAGAATGAAAAACTACATTTTGAATAAAGTTATTAAATCATCAACAGCTGCGCCATGACAGTCAAGATGAGTAAAACCAAAACAATGAGCTAAAAGAAGCTAAAAAGATCCATTAATCTTGAGTGGGTGAGTGTAGCTGCTGATAATATATAACAAGTTCATGATACAATTTTATCTCTTTTTCTTAATCTCTGTTATTTGCTTTGGCAAAATGTGTGATGTCATGCCTGTGTGATCTGAGTGTGAGAGTGATTGTAGCGAGGGAGTAAAGTGATGGAAGTGTTGAGAGGTGTCACAGCGGCATCAAGGTGTTTACCACACACTCATAAACCCGGCCGTGCATGCTCACACTCAACACCCTCACACACACATCTCTACCTGAGATCACTCAGGCTTTCCTGTCGGCCCATGCGTCTCTAAATCTTTGCGTCGTGTCTAAAATTGGAGTTGTTGACGATCCTCTGCATTCCTGTTGTCTCGACCGAGCTTTTGTCTTTGCTGACGAGATGTCGGTGACAACGCTGCACAATCCGTCAGGCCAAATGAGTGACAGCGGTGGCAGGAGGGCTTCAGGAGCTGTTGCCTGCAAATCCGCAGTGTTTAAATAAAGCAGCGTGTAACTGCTCTTTAAACAGATGCAAAGCTCACTCTGAATCTCTGCACTGCTGCTGACCTTGTGTACTTGTTTCCTCTCACATGACACCAGAATAACTACCACAGCTTTGGGGCTGACACAATAGTGCAGATTAGACACAAGTGCTATTCAAATCTATTGTGTAATCTATCTATCTATCTATCTACCTACCTATCTATCTATATATATATCTATCTTGTGTATATTTTACAGTGAAAAACATATATGTGTATATAGTGCATATTAAAAATGTGTGTTTTTCCCTGTGTTGTATAATGTTTTGCATATACATGCACTGGAATCATTAATACAATACAGTCAAAAGCTCATTTTCAACACATCATTACATACACAGTGTGTTTGTGTGTGTATATATAATACATTTTATATATGTGTGTGTGTGTGTGTGTGTGTGTGTGAGTGTCCGAGGCGGATTAAACTTGTCAGACAGGCTAAGCCCAAGATCATTTTTCAAAGTGGTCAAATGCTGCCAATTGGTGGATTTGCCAAAACACTGTTTTTGTTTTAATTAATCTCCTCCCAGGTTTTCCTGCCAAACGATGATGTCTTCATCCTCATCCTGAAGAAAACACAGCCTTTGTTTACATTTTATTACTTTAGCAGCCATTGTGACAGGCGAATTAGATCCTAAGAAAAGACAAATGAAGGGAAACTGAAAACTGCGGTTGAGAGGAGAACATTGTACTGGATTGGTTTTGCAAACCTGTACCCGTCCAGCACAGTCTGGTACCTTCAATTATCACCAAATCAATTGGACCCGACAGAATCAATTAAAGTAAGACCTGGACTGACCCGAGATAAAATACAATCTCAGAGCTGCTGCAGGACAGTGACGGCTAAAGTCTACAGGATATTCACACAATGCCAGGAGGAAACAAATCAAAATAAATAAAAATGCACAAATGAAACACCCACATAAATGTTATTTCAGAGGATTCTGTTCACTTGAACCAGCTTCAGTGAATAGGTGTTCACTCACACCTCCTCAAATTCCTGCCTTGTGAAGGCACAGCTTGAATACCTTCATTTATTATATGAATAATTTAACGAGACACCTGATTGACCTTGTGTGTTTTTATAAATGCTAATAAATCTCCAAACTCTATTTTATGTTCAATTTCTTCACTCTACTAAAACCAACTGCACAGATGTTGCAGAGGCTGCTGCACTTAAATACGTGCGTTGCCTGTTGATTACATTATCGACTGCATATTTAGGTGTTAACGTGGGTCCCTATCTTCTCATTATTCCATCCAGAGTCCCTGTTGTTTAAATAACACATGCACATGCATCATATCCGAGCACCCATGGGTGTGTTGGTCTTAAAAGCAGTGGAGGGCGACTTCACGATTCAGTCCTTCCTCCACCTTGTGCCATGCTGCTCCTGGTTGCACTGCTTTTGTACCAGCACCCACATTTGTCTCTGCCTCCTTGCCTCTCTATAACACATTATTGACAGCTCACTCTAACAAAAACTGTACTTATTGCACGACTCCCTTGTGTGTGGCCTCACTTCATTTGCGGATCTTCTCAGGTCCCTTCATTAGGTAGTCTGCAGCAGTGTGTTTATTTTCCACTTTAGGAACAGGAAATCCATGAGCAATTTCAGTGGGATTATCAGCAGAGTGCAGCTTCCTCCACAAGCCTGATAACCACGCTTTTCTCTTCGCGATGTGCTGCCAGCGGCACCTCGCGGATTGGGCTCCCGGAGAACACCTTGTGTTTCATACATGAGTTCGGTAAACAGCCATGATCGCAGCTAATAATGTGAGGGAGCAGTCAAACATACCCTGATTCCTGCAGGGTTATGTAAGCCAGCTTCTCTCCGGTATTGTCAAGAAGGATGTAGGTTGAGGAAGAGTGAATGAAAGGCCTGAGGCTGTTCAGACTCAAACAGAAGGTCACTTGTTTAAAAGAGGACCTTTGACTTTGCTTTAGGGAAACATATGTCCAGGACAGCCATTTGAAAAAGAGAAAGGAAAGAAAGGAACACAAAGAAAGATTATCAATATGAATTACTATCCTTCCACACATCAATTCATTCATTAATAATTAATGGACTTCTGCTCAATGTTCTCAGGCTTCTTCACAGCAAGATCCTGACATTTTGCATTTGTTGCAGAGACTTAACATCCAGAAAGGTTGGAACTCGTCGTGATCGCTGGTACACAGCGAACAAACAGGCTTTTACAGGGAGCAAACATTAGTTAAACTAAACTCCTAATGGCAACAAAAGCAAAGAAGCATGTGTTCCAAAATGTTTATTACAATCTGTGCAGGATATTTGGTCGTGTCATCGAATATTATAACTCTCACATTGATCGTATGTTGAGTTAATCATTAAATGTCACACCATGATATTTAACAAGCAGAGATTTCAAATGCCACATGTCTCCCTGCAGTCTGCTGCATGAATTCCTGTTCTCTAGCTCACAGTGTGGGACGTCTGCGTCCATAAGTCCACTGTGACATAAGGTTAAGGGCATGATGGGTACCTTGATACTTGACACTAAAAAAAGCCAACCCACATCCACCTACCCTCTCCCCTCCGTCCATCCTATTTTTTACAGAGGGGGACTTCTAAAATAAAATCAGCTGTCACTGGATCCCTGGGCCACACTGAGCTGTGGAGCTGGAGCTGGTCTCCAAGCCTCGCTGTCTGTCTCTGCCCAGGATTTTCCTGCTGTGTTGGGTTAAAGCTCATTTCTTTTCCTGGTATTCCAAGACAGCCCTTTTCTATTCTGTTGGATTGTATTGCTGCTTGACGTAGAGAGAGAGCGACCTGCACAGGTTTAGAAGGTAAGAGATGTATGTGGACTATGCATGTGTCAATGCTGGCTCTTGTAAAAGCTCTTTGAAAGATATTTTCCATCTAAGCAGAAGTGGAAGGAGAGAAATTGGATGCGCTAGATGACATTTTACCTCATAATGAATTGGTTCGATGAGCTCGGGCTACATCAGTGGTGTAAAATCAGAAATAAGACGAAAGTGGAGGGCTTGTTTTGTGTTGGAATATCAAATCGAAAAGACATGTGATATTGCAATATGTTTCTGTGATTCCACTAGGGTTTGGGCTTTGTCATAAAATGTGCATTGGCACTTCCTATTTCCTTCCACAGGATATAATCAGCAGGATCTGGAATATTCTGAAAGCACAGCGAATCAAAGTACATAGCCTTAGCATAAGGAAGCACTCCAGGGGAATCCGCTCTCTGTGTACAGACGTTTTTTTTGATGGATTTGACAGCTCAATTATTGTGCCTGTTTTGCTCTCATCGGTAAGGAAGAAATCACCCTGCATGGCTGACATTTCAATTAGTGTAGCTCGTTTCTGCTCCCGTCAAACCGTGTCAGTCAAACGCTTCGGTCAGTAAATACTGCACAGAAAATTGGGTTTCTCTGTTCCTCTGTTATTAGGAGATGATCTCCTCTTGACACAGACTTAAGGGCCTTCATTTAACTTTGCTCTACAATGCTATCAACTCTGAGGTCCCTCTCCTGTACTTTCTCCTTTCTCTTTCCTGGTGGACCTCAGTCGTCTCTCGCCCTAACCCCCCACGCCACCCTACACCCCATCACTCCTCGCTCGCCGGCGGTGCAGCGCCTCACCACTGACAGGGAGGTCAGTGGTCCGTGGACGGGCTCAATATAGACACTGAGTCATGCATACCAGCAGCAGCATGACCTCCCCTGTTGACTTTTTCCCGGGCCTCACCCTCTTCCATTAACCCCCCACCCGGTGCCAACGCTTAAAGAGATAAGATGCTACATGTAAAACTGTGAGAGGAGGAAAGCAGCCGCCAGAGTTTGAGTAAATATGCATCTGAACGGATCAATAGAAGAAACGATTGCAGTTAAAAGCTTTTGTTTTTTAAGAAATGTTAAAGTTTGAGTATTGTGGCTTAAGTAGTTGGGAGGACTTCATTGATATTCATACATGCTAAACGTCCATTAAACACACATATCCAAAACCTCATTATAACACTAACAATGTCAAAATGTCCTCATAATGACCAATGTCCTAACAGCAACAAAAAAATTGTCCTTCAATCAATCAATATACTGATCAACCTTTATTTAAATAGAACCTTTTAAAACAAATCAAATGCAATAAAAAGTCCTTAACAGGGAAATCATAGGATGTTCAAACAACTTAGAAATCTTTATAAACAAATTCAGATTTGGAGACTGATTCATTCCAAAGAAATCAATAATAGAGAAGACAACAATAGAGGAAAGTTAAAATGATAAAAATCACTAAATCAACACTAGAATTTAGTAAAAGAAATTTGAATATGATTAATATTAATGATTAAAAGATGAATATACATAATAAACCCGTAAAATTATTCAACTCTTCATAAAAGACTAAATATACACACGCGTCCTCTGTGTAAATCTCTTGTTACAGGGGAACATGACGCTGCACACGGAGCCGGTTTATAAAAAGCCTGGTTTTATCTTTTTTCCCGCTGGAGCCTGGTTACCTCACCTCCATGCTATGGCACATTTGCATCCCCTTCTCAGAAGCCAGAGATATCCAAAGCACTGTTGCCACTGCTGTGACAGCTCCAGACATGACGTGAACATTTATCTCCGGTGATAAACGAGGGCATTATCCTTGTGTTGCTGTCACCGGGCCGGAGTTAGGTCACACCGCAGCCTCAGGTGTATGGTTTCTGACCCATATTTATAGGATGCGCTGGTTATTTTCAGATGCTGCTGTCTCCGGCAGCTTTATCTCTCCCCCCGATGGGTTACGGGTCACACTAACATATCAGATGTAGCAGAAAGCGAGGTTCAGTCAATCCACGCATCTTCAGGGAAATACGATTTTGATGAATATTGATCATACAGGCCTCCAGTAGTAAAAAGCACCTCAGTCAGTGGGAGAACTTATTGTCTTTCTCAGTAAAATGCTGAAAACAATTAGAGGTTTTTGACTCTTGTCGTCTAACCCTGTGCTCACTACTCCTCATCAGGATGTAAAAGTGGATCGTACAACGCAGCCAAACGCTTTCTCCATTTTGCTCTTTCCAGCTTTTCAGTTTGCTCAGAGGTCAACAAGTAAACGAGGGCCATGACTAAGCACAGCTGTAGTAACACTGTGGCGTACATGAAGATGAACGACAGGTCTACACTGCCTGCCAGAAATCAAACTAAAATATCCTGGATACAAAAGCTGCCATCTTGCACATTTGGAGCAATGGGTCAGGGTCATTTATTTAAGGCTTACTTTGACTTTTCAGTTTGGCCCATGTCCCGTCCACTAACACAGAGATGTGCCTTATTTCCAGTCAAGTCAGGGGCTTCACCTTCGGAGAGCAGTCATGTCATCCATCTTTAATATTAAAATATTATTAAACTTCCCACATAGTCGAGATAATAAATCCATCTATACAGATACAGAGATCAATATCAGTGGGTGTTTGATGACATGGAGCTATATGGTGTCAGGTGTTACTATAGGTAGGCTGAGAGAAGCACAGCCGAGCAACGTGTGGTATGCACTAATCCAGTGAATGTGATACTAATCTCCATACTACGACTCCACCGAGCGGACCTTCACCACGTCCACATGCACTGAAGAGGCAGCTGCTTCGACACGTCTTAAATAAGCATGAATCAGACTGATACTGACCCCCGCTTTGAGCCAGAATTACTCCGACGCATGATAATGTAAGCACCTATATCGTGAAAACAACACAACAAGGAAGCAAATCTCCAAAGTGTCAAAAGGTTAGAGTGTGAGCACTTAATGAGAGTGAATCATTTCTGTTTGTGCGCTTTCATCCCACGGTGCTGTTGCCTGGAGAGAGAGAACTGGCTAGAAGCTAAAAGGTCCAGTGTGGGTGTACAGTATGCTGAGCTTTAACGGAGCCCTCTCTCTGTTGCCTAACGATGCTTTGTAGGGCAGAAAAGTCAAATGTAAAATCAATGGTCTTCTCTAATTGGCTATCCACAGAGATGTGCTGTGCAACGTGCAGGATCATAAAGTAGTCCTTTGTGATTGATGAAGGTCAGCTTTGGTTTTGTGTCACCATGTTTTCACTGGTTTTTTGCCTCTGGTTAAGCTGTCTCTGTCTTTTTCTGACTCAGGACGAAAAAAAAAAAAAACTAAAGCTTTAATAGTGTAGTTTTCAAGCGTCTAATTTTCTTTTATTTCCTTTCCTTGTATTTAAGAAGCAGCAGTGTAATAATTTACATATAATATTTCAAAGGGGTTGTTCTCGCTGAGGATAATAATTTCCCTCCCTGTTCCAGTGTAATGACAGAAAAGTCATATCCACAAAACCGTCTTTAAGCCTGTTTACAAAAGGGCAAGATCTGTGTCATTGATGAGCCTCAAAGTGTAATAAGAAGGTGGCAAATATCAGCAAGATCTCTTGGAGTTTGGTTTGTTGATGAAAGTCATTCACATCTTCAATTTAACAAGTTGTGGTTTTCTGTGTGTGCAGCTGCAGGCAGCCCAGGTAGACCCGGGTCCGGACGTCCCGAGGAGAGGGCCCCGAGTGCTGAGGACCAGGAGGCCGAGCCAGTGTCAGTAAAAGAGCGGCTGGCGATGTATCAGGCGGCCGTGTCCAAAAAAGAAACCAGTGCTTCCTGCTCCACTGCGGTAAGATGATAACTTCCACAGGATGTTACCAGAGACAGCAGAGGATGGATGAGAGGATGTGCAGTCGCCCGGAGCACGGCGCATAGACTTGGCCGTGTTTCCATTAAAGTGGCAGCATGTGATATACATTGCTGATGTTTATGGCCACATTCATGTCGTTTAATATATAATATATACCCCAGGGGTATATCTACAGTCCTGCTCTGTTGGATGGAGGAAGGGGGAAGGGGAAGATTTGTCAGTGCGTCATTAGGGTCAGTAGATTATCGGAAAATGCAGACTCCATGGAGTTTGAGTCCTTTCCCAGAATGCATTTAGAAAATCGTAAAGATTTCACTTCAACTGGAGCCACTTCAGTCACTGTGACCTTCATTTTCTCCAGCGCTGAATTTCGAAGGACATATTTCACTTTTACTCCACTACATTTATCATGGACTTTATATCAAGAAAAATAAAAAGCATTAGTTGCTTTCAAATCAAACTCTTCTGCCCTTGATTCATCTCAGATGCATTTCATCCATCAATTATCACGTTTCACTCATTTATTTATTTTTCTTCAATAACTAATTCAAATCAAACTTACCAGATGAATTAACACAAATATCAATGTGAAAAGAACTTCCAAAAATGGCAGAAACTATCTTGAAAAATGTATTTCACGTCTATACTGTCCCATCTGTTAACATGGAAGAGACAGTATTCATGACACTTTGACATGTTTCATATGATTATAAGTGAGCACTAGTAACCCCTGTTTACTTAAGTTGGTTTATTTTTAGATCTGGTAAAAATATAATTATAACATAAATGTATGAAACAAAAAGAGCAAAAATAATTGAACATATTTACTTTCAAATGAACTTGATAGTTTTACTCGATAAAGAGCTTACAACTCGTGAATGTTTCACACAGTCCGTGAACAGCCGATTCAATCTTTCTGCATCATTCACATAAACAAATTATTATGCAATTTGCACAAAAACAATTGGACGACACTGTGTTCATGTTTGAATCACCGAGTGGTGAAATACCAGATGTCAACAAACAGATTACAGCCATATTTCTCAGTACGTGTGTTGATATTGTGGTTTTGATTCAGTTTCAGCCAGCTGCTCTCCCCTCTGAGCAAACACAGATTCTCTGAGGAGACGGATGTTATCCACTATTTTAAAATCCCTTGTTCAACCGTAGTTATAGAAGCACTCACATCTAAATAAGAGAGAGAGGTGAGATAGTTATTATTCATTTAAACTCTCTGTGATTGTGTGTGTGTGAATGGGTGAATGTGACAGACCATCACATTTACCCACTGGTGGATCAAGGGGCCATAAAGAGGCACAATTTACCCAGAGGGGACAATTACATGTCCAACATCCCTGTACTGATTCAGTAAGGTGCCCATTTAAGTCATTTCTTGTTTACTAAGCCCCGAAGAGAAGAACTTCAAGGATCAGATTTCAGCTGCCATCTCCCCATTTCATAATTACGCTGTCCATCAAAAAAGGACAAAATCAATTAATCAATCAAATCACAACTTGTCTCAAAGGGCTCAACAGGGTGTGACACCCTCTGCCCTTAACTCTCGATAAGAGTTGAAAATCTAAATATGTCTAAAGGATTGTTGAAAAAGAGCAACCTTTAATTAATTATTTTAGATTATTACACTGGTATTTCTCCAGAGGTTAGAGATCTGTCACCTTTTTCATTTGGTTTGATTATGTAATATAAAGAAGGATTGTTTTGACTTTGTCAGGGTGTAAAAGTGTGGACTTTGCATAACAGGCGTATGGGAACATGTTTGTTTCATCACAATACGGTAACATCACCTTAAAGCAGGCGGGTGTTATATGTGTGGAGGAAGATAAATAATGTCCACTAACACTAAATGTATGACAGTAATTTAAAGGTTTATTTATAATATATTTGGTTTGTTAAAGTCAAATCTTTTTCAATGTCCATCAGGTCAGGCCACACTGTTGCATGGTTATAAGTGCTGCCTCCCTCTGGTGCCTTTGTGCATGACAGGACAGCACAGTTGGACACTTGTTTGCACACTTGCAATAAAACCATGAAGCTCTGGACTCTAACCCAAATATTCACTGATCCTCTGACACCATTTGTGCCCGCTCACAACCTGAGGTCCTGATCACAGGCTCGTTGTTCCACAGTAGGCTGAGGACCAAAGGGTGGCCGGGACTTTTCCTGTTATGGATCAAACCCCCCGAAAAGATCCAACTGGCCGACTTCTTGTTCTCTTTTAAATCACTCTTCAAAACATTAACAGAACAAAAAGTTAAATGTGCTTTTACTTTTTACTCAGATTTAATAAAAATGGCCTTTCTTGCTAATTTAATTTTGCTTTTGATCGTAATTTTAAAATATATAAAATAAAATCATTTAATTGTAAAGAAAATAAAAAGAAATAATAAAACCTCCATCCTGCAGTGTAACGTAGCCACAGGCCTGCATAGCAACAAGCCTCTTGAGGCCGAGCTTTACAGCCGTTTCAGAGCAGATGAGATGTTAACATAACACAGAGTGGAGCTGGAGCTGCACTAACACCACAGAGAGGAGCCGCCTCCAGAGGCTTGTTGCTTTTTATTAATGGCTGCAACACTGTAATTATCCTTATCCTGGACGATTTCAACAAACCCTCAGTTTCATCAATGGTGTAATAACACCGATAGAGAAACTCTTCCCAGACAGCCGCTCCGCCAACTGAACCATCCTCCAACACTTGACGTAGGTGATTCCCGGATTGGCAGCGCCGCAGCCTTCGCTTTTCCATCAGTTGATCCTCGGTGTCAGGCCTCATGTGGTGGCTGCTGACAGCTGAGACTGTGTGCGTGTGTGTGTGTGTGTGTGTGTGTGTGTGTGTGTGTGTGTTGGGGGGTTGTTTGCCCGACAGAGTCTGCATGTTGTTTTTCCTCCCCACATTGTGCAGCTGTTGTCTGAATGTCCACACGAGTGACAGGGTGTCTCTCGTTCTGTCCGGTCTGACATCCAGAAAAGACAAATTACCCAGGATATCATGTAGAAGCTGCTAATTTACAACAACAAACAGTCTTTGTTCACGATGACATATTGCCCATAATTTACATTTTGTCAGCAAATTTGTGTTTTCATTTGTTTTCTTAAATGTACAATATTCACTTGCAGCAACTAAAGTGTGATTACTCCTTTTTGTGGCAACGTTAAGGCAGGTTCAAGTTTCAAAATAAAATCTTCCACTGCCCTTAAAAGAAAAGTTGGATAGTATAGGAATTAAACTTATTTCCTGAGTTCAGGTGGTACAAAGTGTAATTCTGGACTCGTAGATGTACTGATGAGATGTATGTGGTCAAAGGTCAAAGGTCATGTTGACCTCATGTTTTTAATGCACCTGCATGACTCAGGGTGTAAACCTCATTCTCCACAACACCAACCTGTAACCGACAAACCAAATCAGCCATGTGTGATATTCCAGGGCTGAAATCGGTTCTTCTGTCTAATTTGATTGTAATTATTTTCATTATAGGCGATTTTACAGACTCCATATTCACACAGGATCATGTGCATGTGGAGGGGACGTAGTGAAATATTGATAACATGGTGCCCTGCCACAAAATGCCACCGACCTAAACTCCTCTGCTATAACTTGCAAATTGCTTTGTAGTCCTCATTTGCATTATAAAGAAAGAAAACTCACTCACACACACACAAACTTTATATCTTGCCATTTTCCCCAGGCTATAGTGTGTATATGCAGAAGCCTTCTTATATAAATAAATTATTAGGAAAGTAATTGAGAATCCCAGACAGAGATTATTTTATCAAATAATCTGTGTGGATTCTTGCCCAGATCTTGTCGGGGGAGGTCTGCGTCCTCCATACAGATGAGACACAGTCTTCTTCTGTCCTCCTTGTCCAGAAAGGAAGGAAATCTTTTGTATTTATCAGCTGAAAGCAGTTTTTCACACCCTCCATCATCTTAACAGATCCATCATATCTGTTTTTAAAATTAATGCAACATTTAAAAGAAAATCAACCGTGCTGAGGACTTTAAAATGATTTCCAGTGTTTTTAAAGAGATGTGCAGGTGTTACGTGTGCTTTCTGCTCTTCCAACAGATGATGGAGGAGTCGGAGGCGTGCTCACTGCCCGGCGGCCTCGCCAGTGTGAAGAAACAGTTTGAGAACCAGGAGTTCACGTCTTCATCGTCCCAGTCCAGCGTCACCCAGTTTCACTTCCAGCAGAAATCCGTCCAGGTCAGAACGTCATTTATGACAATAGCTGGAATTAGACACAATGTTTCTACGTATTCTTATTATATAAATACCATTCT